AATAAAAACTGAGGATACTTAATAAAACTGGTAGAATATTAATGTAAAAAAAGAATATTAATTAAGTTAGTAGAAAATAAAGCACCTAAGTTTACTAAATAGTTCCTATATTAAATCACCCAAATGTTGAAAGTTAGTAGAATATTAGAAAAATAGTAGAAAATAAAGCACCTAAGTTTACTAAATAGTTCCTATATTAAATCACCCAAATGTTGGGCTTTGGGTATAACAATAAATAAATAAATTAAATAAATTATTTATCTATACTTAAAGAAGCTTAACTTCACTGACTGAAATCCAGAAAGCACTCAGCCTTTTCCCCTCTCTTACTCCCTCTTTCTCCACAGTCATTCCCTGGATTAGGTCTTCTACCTCTTATCTCCCTTCTGTATCTTCTCTTGGAATAAAAAAATATAATTAGACAAAAGAACACATTTTGTGCTTCTTAATCCTATTACATCTCTTCAATAAACTTTGGAGCTAGCCTTTAAATCAAGATGATGATCAAGCCAGTGTTCTGTGTTAGATGCCTTTGGTGGATGCAAAGATGAGAAATATGCTGTTTTTGTCTTCACAGAGTTTACACAATCTCACATTATATTATATTCACATTAATAACTCTAATGTAAAACACATTAAGTACAAGTGGACACAAACAGAGTTGTATATAATTTGGAAGGATGGAGGTCAACCTCACTTAAGATAATAAGAAAAGTCATGATGGAAAGGATGATCTGTAAAATGGGACTCCAAATAATTAAGGCAGGAATGAGGGAGGGCATTCCAAGTGAGGGAAACAGTTTAAGCAAAGACAAAGAAGACAAAGAGCTGATATGTTGCTTTATAGGGTAGGAGTAGAGTAATAATAATAAAAAAAAAATACAGTAAAAGGGGATTCAAAAACTGACAATGTTTGTACTTAACTTAGTAGCCAAAAGGGAGCCCCTAGGATATTTTAAAATCAGAGTGAGGATATGGATATAACCCCTGTCAACATGATGTCACAGCAGTATACAAACAAATGTGGAACAAAAATGAATTAGAATGAGTAGATCATTAAAGAAGTTATTAAAATGATGAGGTAGGGAGACCCTTGCAGCACTAGGGCCCAGTCTAAGGCCCCAGAGGGAAGGGAAGTGCACACAGCCCAGCAGCGGCCAAGGTGAGCCAAGACCTGCGTGGCACTGCGGTCCAGTATAAGGCCCTGGTGGGGGGGGGGAGAAGAACACAGCCCAGCAGGCACCAAGGTGAGCTGAGACCTGCACAGCACCAGGGGTTCAGTCTACAGCCATGGAAAGCTAGAACAGGAGCCAAGATGGTGTAATATAGATACTGCCACACCTTCTGTCACCACAAGGACAGTTTACCACCATAGTCGCAGGCAGAGCCATTCTACAAGCAACCTGCCACTCAATTGACTTCACTGATATAAGAAGGGTCACCAGTAGAGCCTGTAAATAGAGGAGGAAGTTGTTATCCTCACAGCCAACCCCAGAATAACAGAAGAAGTAAGTCCTCCAACAGATGACTAAACATCAACCAAAAAATACTAGAACTAAAAACAAACAAGAAGATATGACACCACCAAAGGAATACAGTAATGCTCGAATTCCAGACCCCAGAGAACAGGGAATACTTGACACTTCTGAAAAAGAATTCTGAGCGATGATCTTAAGAAAGCTGGAAGAAATAAAAGAAGATTCAATTAGAGAACACAAAGAAACAAGAAAAAATATCCAGAATATGAAGGAGGAAATTTACAAAGAGATTAATACATTAAAAAAGAATGTACCAGAACTCCTAGAAATGAAAGATTCACTTATTGAAACAAAAAACACAACAGAGAGCTTAAGTAGCAGGCTACAGCAAGCAGAAGAAAGAATTGCAGATCTCGAAGATGGACTTTTTGAAATAACCCAGGCAGACAAAAAAAGTAAAAAAGAATTAAAAATAATTAGGAAAACCTAAGAGATAGAGCAGACAAACTCAAGCACTCTTATATCCAAATTGTGGGTATTCCAGAAGGGGAGGGGGAAGGAAAGGTATTGGAAACCTATTCAAGGAAATAATAACATAAAATATTCCAGGGGTAGGAAGAGATGCAGACCTTCAGATCCAGGAAGCTTAAAGGTTCCCCAAACAGATTCAATCCAAAAAGATCCTCTCCAAGGCACATTATAGTCAAATTTGCAAAGCTCAAAGACAAAGAGAGGATTCTCAAAGCAGCAAGAAAAAAGCATCAAGTCAGCTATAACAGAGCCTCTATCAGGCTAACAGCATAGTTCTCAACTAAAACACCACAGGCCAGAAGAAAGTGGAATGATATATTCAAAACACTAAAAGAAATAAATTGCCAGCCAAGAATTCTTTACCCAGCAAGGCCTTCCTTCATAAATGAAGGAGAAATAGTGTATTTCCCAGACAAACAAAAATTGTGGGAGTTCACCACCACATGACCAGCCCTGCAAGACATTCTCAAGGGAGACCTTCATCTGGAATCTGAATAATGAATGTCAATACCACAGATACCCAAGAAAGAGCAAAACCTACTCTTAAAACAAAAAGGCTAGTGAGAAAGAGCAAGAAGCTAAATCATGCCACCGCAAATATCCAACTAACATTGAAGAAGAGAAATAAAAAGGGAAGTAAGGATCATAAGATATTTAAAACATCCAAACAAAAAGCAACTAAATGACAGGAATTAAACAATATCTGTCAATAATCACCCTAAATGTGAATGGATTAAACTCCCCATTCAAAAGGCACATATTGACTGATTGGATTTAAAAGCTAGAACTGAGTATATGCTGTCTTCAAGAGACCCATCTTACATATAGAGACACACACAGACTAAAAGTGAAGGAATGGAAAAAGATATACCATGCAAATGGAAACCAAAAACAAGCAGGAGTACCTAGTCTTACATCAGATGAAATAAACTTTAAAACCAAAAAACATAAAAAGAGAAAAAGAAGGCCACTGTATAATGATAAAAGTATCTATCCAGCTAGAAGACATAACAATCATAAATATATATGCACCCAATGCTGGAGTAACCAAATATATAAAGCAAAGACTTTTAGACCTAAAGAAAGAAATCGGGCCCCAATAAGTTAATAGTGAGTGATCTGAACAGTTCTCTCAGTATGGGACAGATCTTCCAGTCAATGAATCAACAAAGAGACACAGGATTTAAACTACACATTAGTCCAACTGGACCCAGCAGATATATACAGAACATTTCAACCAACAACTAAAGAATATATTTTCTTCTTTTCAGCTCATCAAACATTGTCCAGGATGGACCACATATGAGGTCACAAGTCTAGCTTCAGCAAATATTAAAAAAATTGAAATCATTCCAAGTATCTTTTCCAACCACAATGGACTAAAACTGGAAATTAATAATAAGCAGAACTCTGGAAACTATACCAATACATGGAAACTAAATAATAGGCTCCTGAATGACCTATGGGTCTAAGAAGAAATTAAATATGAAATCAAAAAATTTCTAGGAACTAATGAAAATAAAGATTCATCATACTAAAACCTGTGGGATACTGCAAAAGCAGTATTAAGAGGCAGATTTATTGAAATAATAGCTTACATCAAAAGAATGGAAAGACTTCAAATAAACGACCTAACACTAT